CATTTGTTAATAAACATTCTCTTAGCTTAAGACACTTGATATGCGATTGTATACGCTTATCAGCAATTTCGAGATGTCAGTATATCTGATCTCCCTACTCTTTGCCCTTTCGAGATACAGCAATTCGGCTCCCCTCTTGATATTGGAGGAAATCCCAATTGTCACCACCCACCAAAGATTAGCAGAAATGATAACCGATGTATACTACCATAGGAGGATAGACAATGTTAAAATTAACAATATAAATGTTACGACGCAATACACTGAAGCCGCCATTTGCGCTCAGCCACAAAGAAAAAAAAATGTACCGGTGATATCTTAGCACAAAGAACAATATCTTGAAAGGTCACGAATTCTTTCTTCGGGAACAAGTACAGATGTAGGCTTTCTAAAGAGCATTGCAAGGTTTGTCTATGTTTAGATCAGAAATAGAAATAGCCCCTCCCAATCATTTTTGCCAGGCGTCAAAGGATGTTTTTTTAATGTCTTTTGGGGGTCAAAGGAAGGTAAAAATAATGATAGAAGAAAAAGGTTTTAATATCTGCATTTTCATAGACACGGGATTAAAAAGACGTCATTGAAACATTCAAAGGTCTTCACCTTTGGTTGCTTCAAAGACGTTCTTTTTTCCTTGTTTCTTCTCTTACGATCGATTAGGTCTCGTCGATTCGATCTCATCATCTTACAAATAGTTGTCATCAAGGCTGAGGGCGCCATCATGACGCCGTGTCACATGTTTGGAATCTAAAAACTAAAGCTTACAAGAACATACTTGTGGTGGTCCATGATTCAAGACAGATTAAATTCTTTGGCTATTTTTTCAATCGATAATGATCTTGTGAAGAAGGTGGAAAAAATTTGCAGGTCTAAAGCCAAGAAAAATATTTTAGAGAGGATAATGAATGTTTTCTTTAGCTTTAGTTTCATATTGTAATAAACTCGTTAGTCTTCATTTTCAGCTTTTCTCCATGTGAAAATTAATAAAAATTATACTTGTAAGAACGCCGAAGTTTACCTTTCCCGAGGGGTGCCAGCAACCCTATGGCCGTCATATATATATATATATATATATATATATATATATATATATATATATATATGCAGAAAAATAGGAAAAGAACACGTTAGGTAAATAATACGAAGTTCTTTAGTATTTTTGTTTTTATTTTAAAAACAGTATATATATATATATATATATATATATATATATATATATATACATATAATTATTTATTTAAAAAATATGATTCCAAATCGCTACATAAGAGGTTTGGAATCATATTTTTTAAATAAATAATTATATTATGCTCTACTTTTGTATCGAGCACTATTTTTTAAAAATAATAACTAAAATACTAAGGGACTTTGGATTATTTACCTAACCAGTTCCTTCCTATATTTTCTATATATTTTCATATATATATATTATATATATATATATATATATATATATATATATATATATATATATATATATATATATATATATATATATATATATATATATATATATATATATATATATATATATATATATATATATATATATATATATATATATATATATATATATATATATGTGTGTGTGTGTGTGTGCGTGAGTGTGTGTGTGTTTCCAAAATATAAAGCTTATAAAAAATATGGTCTCTTATAATTTCGAGTGGCGTCTTCTGTAGTGTGCCCGCCATGCGTAGCCTTCATCATCGGCTTGTTCCATCGTTGGGATCTTTGCCATTGGCCGCGCTTCGTCTGTTGCCCTCGTTTTCGACCTTGCCACCAAGGGTAGCTCAACCAGGAGTTTAGAACTTCCGGCACCACTGGATCACGCAAAATTAGTTTCGCAGATTGACTTTAATTTAAATAAATGATAATTAGCCAAATTAATGTTTATATAATTTAACTTCAAAAACATATAGTGTATAATTCTATTTTAATTAGCGGATTAGTAATGGAGATTTTTTTTTTATGTGATCTTTTGAAGGATTTATTTTTATTTTTGTCATCTCATCCATCTTGTCAACTCAGAAATTGCATAAACGAGGTCCTATGGATATTTGAAACGCATAACTTTAATCTAGCACCAAATCAGATTCTTTTTTTTTTACAATGATATTTGGTCTATACAAGGCCCAAGAGTCAGTTGTGGTAGAGGGTTACAGACTAAGATTGATTCATTACTTATGGGTCATTTAATGTCGAAATTCAATTTACTTGGGAGCTTGAAAATAATAAAAATATGTTATTCTGCTTTCACAATTGAATACATGGTAGATGATACTCAGCTTTTTTGCAAATATATGTTTGTGTGGATATGATTACTAGGGGCGGTGATCTGTGTTTTGTGCTTTGCTGAAGAATATTATATGGATTAATGTCACGAAAGGGTTCTTTTATGTTGGTTGTTTGATGGGGGTGAATATTTGCCCATAGTTGGGACCTTAATAAGTGCTACCACACCGTGTTAGAGTGGATCTGGGAAGAGCAACAGCTAAGAGGTGGTTCCACGCTCCACATCTCCAGATGAGAGGCCTTGCTGCCGGATATAGTTTATCGTCATACCCAGGACTCTCATAGTAAGAGGCACAGCTTATAGGGATATGTGGGGGAAGATAACGATTATCCTTCGACTTTAACAGGTTAAGAGTGTAGTGATCGGATTTTTATTGATTCGTTTTCTACGGTTTATCAACCCTTTGCAGGTTATTTAAAGCCAGAAATAATTTTTCGATTGAAAGAATTTTTGTGAGATAATAGTGTCGATATGAAGTGGGGGACCAATTCTGTATTACAATCATCATATAAATTGATCCCTCACTTTGTGGCCACAGTAATTTCTATACATTTATATTCCAGAGAATGTTTTATCTAAAATCATGCCTGTGTATCAATAAGTATTTGATTGATTGATTCGTCTTCTATGGATTATCAACCCTTTAGGTTATTTAAAGCCAGAAAATATTTTTAGATTGTAAGAATTTTTTTTGAGATAATAATGGTTTAGTGATACACGTCTTACTAATTAACCCATAGATGGCGGAGAAATAATGAATTGCATACCTTTCCCAAGGGTATTTGCGTCAAAATGAATATAACGAACTCGACGGGAAGAGGCGTTTGCCTTTCGGGCTTAACAATTCCGAGCCATTATCCATTACATCACCCGCACATCTAAGCTTACAACACCCGGTATTCCGATGAGGTCACCCATCTAGGATCGACGTTACTCAACTTCGCTGATCGTACGTGAACCGGTGTTTCAACGTCATATGGCCGTAACCTGTAGTGAATCCGTTCCACAAAGCAGCCATTCGTGGAAAGAAGCTGTTTGAGTGGCATTTATATTCCACCAACGGAATATGAAAGGAATGGTTCGTTAAAATGTACGTGTCATGTCGGGTCTTAGTTGTAAAGGTCAGAACGGATGGAACCAAGGAACGTAGTTCGTTTGAGCACTTTCCATGGAAATAGCGATAGAGCAGCGAGAGGCTTGCAACATTTCGTCTGTGAGGAAAGGGGTTGTAGGGTGGAAAATAATTCATCACCAATAAGGCCGCGGAGACGCTTTTGGACTCTATCGAGACTGGAAAGTGAAGACTGGACAGAAAGAAATATAGAGGTAAGAAAACTGTATAGCGTCAATCATAAATGAGGAGGCACGGTGGAATAATGGATAGCCGATTGAGGAATCGGAGAGCCGAGTTCGAATTCCAGTCAGGTCTATTACATTCACTTACGTGCTAATACCCTTGGGAAAGGTATGAATCCTCTTCCCCCCCCCCACGCTATGGATAAGTAGCAGGACAGACTTTGAAAGAAATGGCAACCTACTGCGGGAAAAATCTAGATACATGATCGCCTCAGCGTGTATAACGCATGGCACATAACTTTCCCCTAGCACCGACTGCTAATACTGAGGTGAAATCTACAGAAGGATACTGAGAATTTCATGGCTGCAGCGAGTAAGCATCGAGGAAATCTTAAAGAAAATGACAACAAAAAGAACACATGCTCATGATCAGGAAGAGATAGCTGAAATTCCTTGGGCACATAATGAAGACTTTGGAAAAATTAACCCTCACGGGGCATATTGAAGTCAAAACAGGCAGAGCACCTCACCTACCTAGTGAACTTTTGTGAACACATGGCGGGAACAGGTGGCGGGAACCTTAGCAAAACGTGAAAAACTGTTAACGGCCAAAAGGGAGAGGAAGTTTTGGAGAACCGTAATCGCTCATATCCTGAAAGGACACGGCACATAGAAGAAGTCAGTAATCTCAGAGATAATTGTGGAGAGCCATGATCGCCCATGTCCTCGCCGCACACAGGAGTCATAAAACAATATCAGATATTTACTAAATTTAGCTCAATTTTGATATAAAGACAATTCGTGATGGAAATCACGATAAGAAGACCTGTATGGCTCCCAATTTTTCAAATAGGGTGCCAGCTTTAAAAATCAGCATTCAAAATTCTAGCTTTTACCTAAGCTTGAACGTCGCAACTTATCGTAATCCCGACCTATAAAGATGTTAGCTAAAATTAATTTATCCTGGCACAGGGTTGACGCCATGAGGCGCGTAACGGAGATTGAACTCATTATACAGTGTTACCCGGATATAAGAGACCCGGATATAAGAGAAACCCGGATATAAGAGACCCGGATATAAGAGAAACCCGGATATAAGAGAAACCCGGATATAAGAGAAACCCGGATATAAGAGAGATTTTCTCTGGTGCCAAATTAGAGCCTGTGTTAATGTATATAAAATAGACCCAACCCGGATATAAGAGAAACCCGGATATAAGAGAAACCCGGATATAAGAGACTTCTTCTCAGGTCCCGACAACTCTCTTATATCCGGGTTACACTGTATATGTAAATGATCTGTGGGACGAGCTTGCTTAACCTTTTCTCTGTGGCACATGACCCCGGGAAGTGCTATGAAGGGCGAAATATATTTAGAGGTAAGTATTTGTTCGCGCCGCCCACCGGCTATCGCATGTTTGCAGATGATATCTTGGTGTTATTTCCACTTTTGGCGCGTTTAGCTCGCAGCGCCCGATTTGACTACCGATTTGGAGTTTGCTGTCGCTTTTCAGATTTAGTTAGCATTTTCTTTAGCTCTCCGTTCTTCTCTCTTAGATTACTTTTCTCTCTTTTTTTTTTAACCTTTTTCCCTCTCTTTCACTCTTTTGCACGCTTTTCTTTTTCTTTCATTATCTCGTTCTTTTTTTTTTTTGATTATTTTTCCACTCTGTATTTCATGCAGTCTCTCTTTTTCTTTATTTTCTTCTTCATCTGTTTTTTTTTTCTGTGCATTTTTTTTTTTTTTTTGCTGATTATTTTTCTGTCTCATTTATTTGATTTCTTTTCTTCTTTTTTACTCTTCTGCACCTTTTCTCTTTTATTCTTTGATAGCATTTCCTTTTTTTCGCCTTTCTCTCTCCCCCACTTTTGACCAGTTTCTTTCCTTATCTTTTAAGCCATTTTTCTTTCTTTCACAGTCTTTGCACCAGTTTCTTTCTTTCTTTTTTTCTTTCTTTCTTTCTTTCTCATTAACATATCTCCTGATCTTCCTCTTTTTGTTCTTTTTTATTCCCCCTTCAGAGTCCGCTTTCTTTCTTTCTTTCTTTCTTTCTTTCTTTCTCATTAACATATCTCCTGATCTTCCTCTTTTTGTTCTTTTTTATTCCCCCTTCAGAGCTCGCTTTCTTTCTTTCTTTCTTTCTTTCTTTCTTTCTTTCTCATTAACATATCTCCAGATCTTCCTGTTTTTGTTCTTTTTTATTCCCTCTTCAGAGTTCGCATTCTTTCTTTCTTTCTTTCTTTCTTTCTTTCTCATTAACATATCTCCTGATCTTCCTCTTTTTGTTCTTTTTTATTCCCTCTTCAGAGTTCGCTTTCTTTCTTTCTTTCTTTCTTTCTTTCTCATTAACATATCTCCTGATCTTCCTCTTTTGTTCTTTTTTTTCCCCTTCAGAGCTCGCTTTCTTCCTTTCCCTCTTTCTTTCTTTCTTTCTTTCTCATTAACATATCTCCTGATCTTCCTCTTTTTGTTCTTTTTTATTCCCCCTTCAGAGCTCGCTTTCTTCCTTTCCCTCTTTCTTTCTTTCTTTCTTTCTTTCTCATTAACATATCTCCAGATCTTCCTCTTTTTGTTCTTTTTTATTCCCCCTTCAGAGTTCGCTTTCTTTCTTTCTTTCTTTCTTTCTTTCTTTCTTTCTTTCTTTCTTTCTTTCTTTCTTTCTTTCTCATTAACATATCTCCAGATCTTCCTCTTTTTGTTCTTTTTTATTCCCCCTTCAGAGTTCGCTTTCTTTCTTTCTTTCTTTCTTTCTTTCTCATTAACATATCTCCAGATCTTCCTGTTTTTGTTCTTTTTTATTCCCTCTTCAGAGTTCGCATTCTTTCTTTCTTTCTTTCTTTCTTTCTTTCTTTCTCTCTTTCTCATTAACATATCTCCTGATCTTCCTCTTTTTGTTCTTTTTTATTCCCCCTTCAGAGTTCGCTTTCTTTCTTTCTTTCTTTCTTTCTTTCTTTCTTTCTTTCTTTCTTTCTTTCTTTCTTTCTCATTAACATATCTCCTGATCTTCCTCTTTTTGTTCTTTTTTATTCCCTCTTCAGAGTTCGCTTTCTTTCTTTCTTTCTTTCTTTCTCATTAACATATCTCCTGATCTTCCTCTTTTTGTTCTTTTTTATTCCCCCTTCAGAGCTCGCTTTCTTCCTTTCCCTCTTTCTTTCTTTCTTTCTTTCATTAACATATCTCCAGATCTTCCTCTTTTTGTTCTTTTTTATTCCCCCTTCAGAGTTCGCTTTCTTTCTTTCTTTCTTTCTTTCTTTCTTTCTTTCTTTCTTTCTTTCTCATTAACATATCTCCAGATCTTCCTCTTTTTGTTCTTTTTTATTCCCTCTTCATTCGCTTTCTTTCTTTCTTTCTTTCTTTCTTTCTTTCTTTCTTTCTTTCTTTCTTTCTCTTTTAAATCGTTTGTTTTTTCTTTCTTTCACTGTCTTTTGCACCACTTTCTTTCTCTTTTTCTTTTTTCTCTTTTAAGCCAATTTCTTTTTTCTTTCTTTCATCATCTTTTTTCTCCACTTTCTTTCTCAGTCTTTTGAACCCTATCTCTTCCTTCCTATTAATTATTTCCCCTCACTCTTTTCTGTACAATTTCATTTTTCTCTTCTTTCTCTGCACCTTTTCCCCTTTCTTTTTTCTTTCTTTTTTCTTTCTTTCATTCTCCCTCTTTTGTGCCATTTTCTTTCTTCCTTTCGCACCCTTTCATTTTGCTTTCATTATCTCTCTCGCTCTTTTTCTACCATTTCCTTTTAATTATTCCTCCTCTTTATTTTCTGCAAACTTTCATTTTTTTCTCTTCTTTTGCTGTCCCTAATCATTTTATTTTCTTTCTTTCTTTTTCAGCCATTTCTTCTTTCTTTCTTTCTTTCTTTCTTTCTTTCTTTATTTCTTTCTCTTTTGAACAATTTTCTTTCTTTCTTTCTTAATTGAACCATTTTCTTTCTTTCTTCCTCTTTTGAACCATTTTCTTTCTCTCTTTCTTTCTTTCTTTCTTTCTTTCTTTCTTTCTTGCTTCCTCTTTTGAACCATTTTCTTTCTTTCTTTCTTTCTTTCTTTCTTCCTCTTTTGAACCATTTTCTTTCTTTCTTTCTTTCTTTCTTTCTTCCTCTTTTGAACCATTTTCTTTCTTTCTTTCTTTCTTTCTTTCTTTCTTTCTTTCTTTCTTTCTTGCTTCCTCTTTTGAACCATTTTCTTTCTTTCTTTCTTTCTTTATTGAACCATTTTCTTTCTTTCTTCCTCTTTTGAACCATTTTCTTTCTCTCTTTCTTTCTTTCTTTCTTTCTTCCTCTTTTGAACCATTTTCTTTATTGAACCATTTTCTTTCTTTCTTCCTCTTTTGAACCATTTTCTTTCTCTCTTTCTTTCTTTCTTTCTTTCTTTCTTTATTGGACCATTTTCTTTCTTTCTTCATCTTTTGAGCCACTTTCTCTGTTTCTTTCTTTCTTTCTTTCTTTCACCCTTTCATTTTGCTTTCTTTCTTTCGTTCTCATCTACATATTCTTTTTAATTATTCCCCCTCTCTCTTTTCTGCTCTCTTCCATTCTTCTCTTCTTTATCTGCACCTTTTCCCTTTCTTTCCTTCCTTTCTCTATTCCCTTTTCTTTCTTTTTAAATTCTTCTTAATCTTCACTTTATCTTAATCTTCGCGTTCCTATTTCAACCTCTCCCCCTCCCCGCTTCTGCCTTCTTTAATCAAACCCCGCTTTCCATTTTCCTCGGCCATAAATTCCTACTCTTAGGCTCTCATCTAACCTACTCCACCCAGACTTCCCATACCCAACCCGCCATTCACCTTTTCGGATACCCGGCGTTGATGTACGAAGGAGAATATTTATACCCGGTATTGAATTTACTTTTCTCGAAGATATAATATATATTTATTTTTCTCGAAGATTATATGTATATCCATCTTATGAAAATTATTTTCTCTACGTGTTAGAATATATTTTTGATTTGCTCTTGAGTGGGAGCTCGACGTAGTAATATAAATTTCTTTTTTGTTAGTTGTCTCATTTCTTTTGCAGCTAAGACCAATCACCAGATTCTTTGACAAGGTGCAGTTTCTTCCAGCTAGACGCTTGTGGCTGAAAAATTACTCTTCGGCCAGGTCGTTACCCACGAATGAAATCAAAACAATAATACTGCAATATGAAAGGTAAATGCGAATGTTCTATATGCGAAGTATGGTAGGCCAATGTTTATACAGACACCAAGAACTACCAGTACTAGAATTTGCCTCACTACATAATATTGCAATACGAAATGTAAACAAGGAGTATCATATATGGTTCTGGGGATATCTCTCACAGACGCGCCGTCGCCTCCCTCTGTCTGTTCTACAAATACTTCCATGGAAATTGCTCCGAGGAGCTGCATTCGCTGGTTCCCAGACGTCACGAGTTCAAGCGCCTCACGAGGCTGGCATCCCGCTCTCACCCCTTCACTGTCGAAACTCCTAAATATAGCCGTCTCTTCTACTCTAATAGCTTCATGTCTTGCACCTCTCGCTTGTGGAACTCCCTTCCCTTTTCCTGTTTCCCTGTGAGCTATAATCTCCAGCTATTCAAGTGTAATGTCAATCGACATCTCCAGTTGCCTTGATCTATCCACTACACTCATCCTTTCTTCTATCACTCCTATCTGATCTTGCTCTAAATTTTCTATAACCCCTTGCGTCCTAGTGGCTTCCCGCCTTGCTTGGGGTGAAATGCTTAAAAAAAATAAAAAATCTGGGAGGCTAATGTTTAATCAGACATTGTACCTAGCCTTATTTCATAATACTGCAATATTAAATGTAAATAGCTCAGGTTTATAAGTGATGTTGTGGTATCCGATAGGCTAAACTTTACCCAAATTTCATTGACTTTCAGTACTTGCATCTTGCCTAAATTTGTAATATTGAAATATTAAATATAAATCTCGACTTTATTAACTTTCTCACCGACGTAACGTGGCTTCCCTCTGTCTTTTCTACAAATATTTTCATGGCAACTGCTCTGACGAGCTTTTTTACCCTGGCACCCCGACTACATGAATTTAAGCGTGCTACTAGATTGGCATCTGGGTGTCACTCTTTTACTGTTGAAATAGATGATGTAACCGCTACTTTACTCCAACAATTTCTTTTCTCGCAATTCCCGACAGTGGAACTCCTTTCCGTTTACTTGCTTCCCTGAAAACTATAATCTTCAAAAATTTAAATGCAACATCAATCGTCATCTTCTGTTGTCACGAACTCAGTTCACCTTTTATCCTTTTCTCAATCCCCCTACACCCAGTCGTTTCTCTCACTTTCACACCCGGTAACCCCGCCCCCTATGTATTTGTGGCATTCCCGCCTTGCTTTCGATGAAATGGATAAAAAAAGACACCAAATACAGAGAGCATGGGCGGGGTTCGATTTCAAACTAAAACTATTTATATTCACTTGACACAATGACCTTCAAGAAGAGGATGCAACCATTTCTCTCTGTATTGTGAGATATCATTAGTTATCTTGGGCAAATATCTCGTCTCTATCATGTCACAATAAGTGACAGAGGAACAAACCAATGATTCAGCACTTGAGTAAATACATAACTACCTTTTCTTTAGAATAGCAGAAGAAAGCTGTTACATCCTTAGTCAACCATGACAGGTTCCAATCAGATCCCCAAATTCTAGAACCTGATATTGGTAGATTGTTCTTGCAAGTCATTGTTAGTGACTTGGTTGTTTTATTATTCTGAGTTAACTCTAGTCAGGAAGTATAAGGTTTAAAGAATGTAACCACTCTTTTCAAAACATCTGGGTGCTTGATTATTACAACAAGTCGATGAGAAACTTTAGAAACTGATAAATTTTTTTCCTGCAAGCCTACGGCTGAAATTAAAAAAAAAAAATCTTTGGCTTTATAAATTTTGGCAAGTGCTACTTGAAACGAAATACGGGGTGCGGCAGAAATACCTCCCACATATACCTCCCAGAAATACCCCCCCCCACGAAATACCTCCCACATAATGGTAAGACATTAGCTACAGATTCTGGCAGAAATACTTCCTACATAAAGGTAAGACAGTGATTCTCAACCGTTCTTAAGTGAGCCGCGAAATATTGTTACGGCGTACATATATATATATATATATATATATATATATGTGTGTGTGTGTGTGTGTGTGTGTAGAAGTAGTAATGGTACAGCGTTAGCATCTGAATAAATGAATAAGTATTAAAATTTTTATCTCACATAAACTAAAAAGGCTTTATCAGTTTTATTACAATTTTCTACTTCTTATTTATATGAATTACGCTTCTCAACCCTAAATAACATAAAAAATAAGAAGCGAGAAATATTACACTCAACTGAAGAAGAAATAAGAGTCTGCTTATTGCATATTCGACCAAACATTGAAGAAATGGCCCAGGTTTCACACTAAATAAGCTGCACAAATAGTTCAATAGAAACATTGAAATAAAATAAGTCCATAGTAGTGTCTGTATTTTTAAAAAAATCTATTTATTTCTTAACATTTAAATGTATATTTAAAAAATATGGCTAAGATCTTACTGCCAATCTGGTACTGCGCTTAAATTCATAGAGTCTAGGTCGCACTCCTCCACGATCTTTTGAACAGCATTGAAACCTGAGTGGAGGTTTGTTTCCTGTTTGGGATTGGGTTTCCGGTTACGCCTAGAGACTGCTTCGGCTCTAGTGTTTATGTCGTTGCTTAAAAAGGTCAAAGAACACTGTGGTAAGACATCAGCTAAATGAAGACAACATTGCCACTTTCCTTTGTTCACTAACATCATAGAGGTGACAGTTTAAAATGGTGGACGTATTTCTGCCATGCCGTGTATGATTTGCCAAAGACTCGCAGCCAAAAGACTCGCAGCCAAAAGACTCTTTCTGTTGGGAAAAAATGGAATCGAAATAAAAGGCACGAAACGTAAAAGGAATAATGTAAGACTCTTGCTTGGGTAATTTAACATCTAAACTTTTATTAGGTTATTTAAATGCAGAATATAAGCCTTACAAAGATCACAATGATTTGATAGGCAGATAGACATATGTCCAGTTTACACATGAATCAGAAAGGTAGACGCAAATCTAGACTACATCCGTGTTAAAAAGTTTGTACTAAAGACTAAAAATCTAAATACAGATCCAGTTTGTTGAGTTTTTTTCTTTGTTTTTTTTTTTATCATTTCACCCCAAGCATGGCAGTAAAGTCACTAAGACGGAATAGGTAACTGATAGTGAATGAATAAAAAAAGAAACATTATTAAAGAACGAGAACAATAGAAGAGTAATCAAGAAGACAGTAGATAACGATTTTTAATTTTTTATGATCAACGATAACAGGAATGCTAGAGGCCGGAAAAAAAGAGTTCCATAATAGAAGAGTAATCACAAAAACAGTAGACATTGTATTTACATTTCTGAAGATCAAAGTTGGCTGGAAAGCATGGGGCCGGAAAAGAATTCCACAAGCGAGAAGTGCGAGAAAAGAAACAGCATAGAACTTACGGTTACATCTAACCAATTCAACTGTAACTTGACGAGACCTTACCGCCAATCTAGTAGTGCGCTTAACTTCATAGAGTCTACGTCGCACTCCTCCACGGTCTTTTGAATAGGAGTAGAGGTTGGGTTTCCAGTTCCGTCTAGAGTCTGATTCGGCTCTGTACTCCTAGCGTTTGCACCTGAACTCTGAAATTTTATTCACTATTTATTTCATTTTATTTTTTTCACCCCACCACTAATAGGAGTAGATAGGTTCGCCTATCGCTAGGTTCACACTCCTCTCCGTTCTTTAAAATAGGTGTAGAGGTTTATAACTTGTTTCCTGTTTAGGACTGGGTTTCCGTTTCATTCTAATGTCTACACCAGCTCTATACTCCTAAAGCCTGTCCTTTCCTACGTTAATATAACTCCACACAGTAACCC